ATGACAACATCCCCTATTTCTACATTTTTAAGTGTTAGATGGGTAGGGAGTCGCTGTTCTAGCTCAGTCAACCACACTTTGGTTGGTTATAGAGCTGTTCTTTAGGCAAGCACCTGATGTCCATTGTCCACACCATCTATGACTGCTGTTACCAGTTACTTAATCAACATTTGTAATGCACAAAAGAGAAAAAGGAGGAAAAAAAAGAAAAAAGAAAAACCACCTCAAAATCCAAGCTTCAATTTACATAGCAATATTAAAAGAATAACTCCTATTAAGAGAATAATTCTTTGGTAGAAAGAGTAAGGGTAATCTCATTCAACACCTTTTGTCAATAGTAGGATGAGGCCAGAGGGGTGAGAAAGCTAATTATGAGAACTAAGGCTTCTATAATAATAAACTATAACTTAGAGACATTTACAGTACATTATCATGGAATTGCAACTGACAAGTAAATTTAAAAGCAGAGGCAGATTGACTATTCTACATTTATGAAACAACATTTTTAAAAAAATAAGAGGAACAAAACTAACAGGAAAGTAGGCAAGAATTTTTTTCAGCAGAGGTTCTTCTGTTGATCAGTATTTCTGTGGAATTACTTCTTTGGTGACAAACTTCAAAACTATTTGCTGCTGATTTAATGGTAGAAGCTTGATAAATACTTTGAGTGCCAGAGGGACAAATATTTGAGTGAGTAATCCCTACTCATGTACTCCACAGGGAAGTAGTGGGACATCATCAGTGGGAATCTGGATTGTTTAGTTACTTCATGTTCTAAACCTGAACTGCTGTAGGATGACTATCAATGAGAAATCATCAAGAAATCAAGCAAAATAATTCATAAAATATGAACTAGCCTGAGAAATAAGCAGCTAATAAGCCTACCAAGCCTTGATTGATGGAAGTCATACCAAGACAGACACCATCAAGCAGAGTGAAAAATTTTATGTTTCAACTTGCGTCTAAAATATTCCACACAGAGACTGTACAACAACTACTTCCTTTCATTATGTAATTGTGTATGCCCCCACAGTACCTACAGAATTAAAACTACATGCATTTGACTCGCTGTACACTGTATTAGCATATGAACACTTAGCTGTCAAGACAACCCCTGTGCAGGCAGCCTTGGGTTGCCAAGGTTTTGCTAACAGAAATCCAACTGAAAATTCAAAACAAAGTCTAAATACACAAGATATTGAGTAATGTGCAACAACTTCATCTTAAATCAGCTTAGACAATCTCATAAGTAGTCATATCCATGTTTGCCCAGGTTTGTTTGCAGGTTTTTTTTATTCTGCTTGCAACAGATCTGGGCTAACGAAAAGAGTCTCGCCCGCGAGCAGTTACCTGTCTTGGCTGATTTGTTGCATCAGTGACCACAGTTCCTGATAAATTAAAGAGTCCCTACATTATTTTCATTATTAGACAGGTTACAAGCATTTGAAGCATCTGAAGCAACCACACCGAGAAGATTTGCCCAGTGTTGGCAAAATCTTGGAAGTGGATCGTTTGCTCCCACACATGGCAGTATCCAGTGCCTTCTCAGAGCCAAGCACATTAAGGCATTAGATGCCATTTGCATTATCACACAGCAGGGGGCTACAGCAGCTACAATTCCAGGATAATCCGAACATGTGTCTGTATCCTATGAATCCAGTAGAACTATTTTTATTGTTACAGTTTCTCATGTGGCGACTCTTGACAATAGCGAGCTTACTCGTCAGATTGCAAAAAAACAGCTCAGATGAAGCACTTGAGTTATTCTAAAAACATGCTCCCCCTACAACTGTTAAAATTTGTCTAAGACTACATTCATGAAGTCAAAAGACAATCAGAATGAAAACAAAAACTAAACTAACTAACCCAAAAATGTAAGGCTGGCTGAAAACATAAATAACAGGTTAACCCCCTGGGACATCATTTAAGTACTCCAGGCTCATTACAGTGCACAAGTTAACAACAGCAGCGGCCAGAGATCCCACTCTTTTCACAGCAAACGCTGGAGAGGGCAGAGCAGATGAATACCGTCCCTGAACTCAGCTGACAAACTGCTTCCCAGCTCCACATGTTATTAGTCCCTCTCCCACCTCCATCACTCCCCTTTCACAGCAAGCAGTTGACACTGGGCTCTTTTACTTCTTGTTTGCCTCCTCTCTGAAGGGACTGCTTGCTGCTAATGCTATTCCATGCACAAGCTGAGAAGCATTATTCTATGTCCTCTTCCCTCAGCTGATGCTTCATCAATACTCAGGACAGATTCCTTAAGCAAGACTCTCCACAGATCTTGCCAGAAAGCCAAACTTTCATACAGGACACATGTCAGCTTGAGTCTTTGACACCATACCTTTAATTAGTTTCAGTTTCACCAACAGAAACCATCGGTAATTACAGTTCAGAAGTGCTTCAGATCCTCAGGACAAAGATGTTATTCCCATCAGATCTGACAGAAAAACCTGCATCTCCCATGGCCCACAAACAGAAAATTGGAGGAATCTAATAAATCCATTGAGCCACTTCACAGTACAGTTTGGGGAAGTAAATCAAGCCAACAGGAAAAGCTACTTTTAAATGCAGCTATTAAGCTATCAGCAAGAAATGTGTCTAATGGTGTGTCTGCTACTTCTGTCAAAATAAATGGCAGAGACTGAAAAAACAACATTTATGAAGAAGTTGCACTTTAAGGTGGACCGAAAGAATTTGATACTTTTGGATACAGTTGCCACTGAGGACAGCCTTATGGCATATATTTATTCATCTCCTCCATTCTCCTTTACCTTAAGAAACAAGGGTCAGAGAAATTACTTCCTCTCACTTCTGCCTGAGTGTTACAGGTTCTTTATATCTCCTAGAAAGAACACTCTGGTGAAGTGTGGTACACAGAGAGCCTAAGTATTCCTGATTGAAGTTTTTATCAGGAGCTGCAAAAATAATTGTACAAGAAACTGAAGGGAGGGGAGATGTTTTACACACACAGAGGGCAAGCCGGGTAATGTGTTAAGCATCACTTTTCCCCATCTGCAAGGACAGGCCCAATCTGGTTATTTTCACACAGCCACAATCAGATTTGCACTACACCCCATTTCTTGCAACACGTTTTTTACCTTACGCAGTTCACAGAGTTACATTCTGCCTGGCACGCTCTCTAAACTGCAGTGAAAGACATCACTGTTTTTAATCACTGGTTTACTCTCAAAGCTGCGCCGCGCTGAATGCGGCTGATTGCATCTTAGGAAAGATCAAATCCTCCTCCAGCAGCAACCCCGATTTTATTGGTGACAGAAAGTCAGTCCAGAGGCTTCCCACCCCCAGCTCCGTTGCAGGGCAATGAATTGACAATTCACAGGGAAATGTAAAAGGCAGAGAGGAACCAGCCCCCAGGTGCAGCGCGCTGCACATGCCCCCATAAATAATCCTGTATAGCACCAACACAGCAGCTCCTTGTGCGGTGACGTACCGGGCAACCCATAAACATCGGGAAAGAATACAAATAATCCGCCCGACGGACCCGTCCTTCGCACCTGCCCAGCGCACTCCCTTCTCCTCCCATTCCTTCTCGCGTCCTCGACTGGGAACTTCCCCGCGAGGTGGAGCGGGGGCACTGGGGGGGGTTTGGGAAATAGGGGTGTCGGGGAGTGAGGATCCCGTGTTCCGGGAACCCGGGCGGCTGCCTGTGCCCCCGCTCCGGGCTGCCAGCCGCCGCTCCCTCCGGAGAGATCGCCCGACACATGACGCAGCCATGTGAAACGCATTATATATTAAACTTGACGTGAAATGGCATGACGGAGGCGAGCGGGGGGAAAAAAAAATAAATAAAAGGGGAAAAAAAAACAATCTACAAGGCCACTTAGTTTAATCGACTCTTCGCTTCTCCCTCCCAAACCGAAACACCCCGCACGCCGAGCGAGGGAAGGGAAGGGAGATGCCCCGCCGGCCCCCCGCATCCTCCCGGAGGACCGGGGACCGCCAGCGAGTTGCAGCGGGGTGGCTCCCCGGGCCCCTCCGCACCCGCCGGGCCGCGGGGCCACCGCCCGCTCCCCGACCGCCGCCTCCCACCGTGGGGTCCCCGCCGGGCGGGGTGGCCGGGGGCCCATGCCGCCCTCCCGCCGCCGCTCTGGGAGCGAGGGGGAAAGTCCCGGCGGCAGCGCAGCGCGGTGGGCTCGGCTGGCGGCTCGGCTCCCGCTGGAGCGGGAGAGGGCTGGGGGAAGCTCCCCCGCAGGCGGCCGCGGCGGGCGGGCACCTCGCAGGGCTTCCCTGCGCGGCGGCCGCTCCATCCCACTTTGCCGGATAACGGGAACGAGGGGGAGCGGCGGCGGGGAGGAGGGAGAGGGGCATACATCCAGTCTGGAAACTAGCTGCAGGATGAGCCGCCTGGAGCAGGATGGCGAAGGGATCCGCCGCTGAACCCCCGGCTCATCCGATTACCCTACGTGCACATTTGATGCCTCACACACAGACACGCTCTCCCGGCGGCGGCGCAGCGAGGCGCGGACACCCCCCCATCCCGCCGCTCCCCGCCGGGGGGGCACGGCTGGAGCCCGCACGTTTCCCCGGGATGTTGTTGCAGCGCACACGCCGCTGCTGCGGCTGCACTCGCACTTTCGGGGGCACGTTCGCGGCGGGGGGGC